CTTACCTTATAAGACTGTTGTAAAGATTGAAATAACACATGTGCATGACTTAGCCCAGTGCCTAGATTTTAAATGCTCAATAAATGTGAGCTAATGTAATCATACAAAATTTGGGTTAATTCCTGGAACCTGTTAGATAGTAATGCCAGCTCAAGAAGATATTTGTTGAGAAATCTTGAAGTTTATTTTGTCTGTCTGTCTGGCTATCTATCTATCTATCATCATCTATCTCCATCTATTTTTACCAGGCAGATTGAAGAGAGAAGGGAGAGTGATCTGGCAGTGTAGACAGTTATACAGGTAATTTTAGTATCATTGTACCAAGTACTTGCTGGCTGCTAACCCAGGTAACAAAAATAAAATGCAAAACAACTCATCCTGGTTCAGGTTACCTATATTTTTGTGTTCATATAGCCTTGAGATGATTCCCATACACAGAAGAGTGTGTACTAAGTTTTCTTTATCCTGAAAATCATCAACATGTATTTTTATAGGTAGTGTATGTGGGGGGGTGTATTTGGGGCCAGGAATAGGGGTGATAAACCTAGGGAAATTATTATGTTAAATTTTGACTCAAAAGAGAGAAAAACAACTATGACACCAGAAAAATCTGTGAAGTAAAGCAAAGAAACAAACTCTCAAGGTAGTGAGAAGTACATTCATGTCAGGTGTGTGTTGAGTCTGGAATTGTTAATAATATGCAATTTTATTAATTATTCCTTTTAGACTCCCTAGTTTCCGTCACAGGGGCAAACATTGACATTTCTGCCTGCTTCTTTTCCCGTCTCCGCTTTGGGCAGACTGATTGACAGGTGATTGTTTGGGGCAAGGAATAGGAAATTAACTCCGTAGAAGTGTGCGAATGTTTGCTTTTTTGAGTTAGAAGCTTATGTGTTTTTATTCACATTTAGATTTGCTTTTGGCTAGCAATGTAGGTGGAAATACTTTGTAAATTGTACAGTAATGTATCAGTGCTAATTTTTGTAACTTTAGTTGCGACGTGGAAAGAAATATCATCACTTAAGAATTTTCTAAAAGGCTACTTTTTGTAATAATGGATATGTGGGAATAATTTTTTTATTACAGATAGAAATAAGTGCAAAATGGCTTTTTAAAAGCATTTTCATGCATTTCAGAGATCACTCCAGCAGAGTCTTTTAGGGGGAGGGTTGCATGGATACCTCTTTATGGAGAAGATGAACCTTCAAGGAGAAAGAAATTATTACAGCAGTCTCAATACCTCATCTGCAAACCGGAACATTCTTACTTGAAATCTGTCCCTTGGTGCCGCACTTATAAATAATGTCAGGTAGGAAATGATATGACTTCCGTTTTCATTTTGCAGAAAGCAGAAGCCACTGGAGAAAAACGGCCAAGAGGCAGACCTAGGAAATGGGTGAGTAATAAGATAAAAGTTTCTGTTCTTTTTTTCTTTTTTTTTTTTGTAATGAAGCATTTCTGTTTTAAAGGAAAGTTACTTTTATTTTATCGATATGGTGGATTTCTAACTCCTGGTTTGATGAATCTGTGAAAGGGTTAAGGTGAGCCACATATCACCGCTCCTTATGCTCAGGCTCCAGGAGTTTGCTCAAAACACTTCTCTTTCCTGGGAGTGACTCCCTCTTCTGTCTCTTATCAACATGAAAAGAGTCTCCACTCTTCCTTCAAATGGGGTAACAATGAGATGACTTGTTCCGTGGGCTGAGTAACTGAGGTTAAAGGGTATTATGAAACCTTGGAAGGTGATTACAAATGGTGATAAAATTCAGATGAAATGTGGATGAGGTAACTTTTTAACTCTTACTTTTCATTTCTTTTTGTTGTTGTTTCCTGGATGGGGCTCTGCTTTGGACACATCTCCTTTTTTGAGGTGTTTTGTGTTTTCCTTTTTCACATTGGCTTTGTTAGGAAACCAGGTTTTACTTTCCAGTTTTTCCTTCTCGGTAGTCACTCTTACATGTGACATTATCGACAGCAGCTTCCATGTGAGTGCACTGGACCCCATGGGCACACAGATCCTGTATCTTTTTGAGACCAGGAATTCACTGATCACTGAAGAACTCTGCCAGTTTTTACTTTTGAACCTTGTTCTTCATGCTGCTCTATTACCATATTCTTCTGGTCTGTCTTTCCCACTGACAGAGGAAAAAAGTCTTAAAAATGAATAAAACCATTTCTCGAGAAAGATGAAGGCGTCCTCTCCACCTGGGATCATCTGTGGTCGATCTTGGCTTTCCTTTTCTCCCTTCCGTGATTCGTTCTTCCTGCTTCACCTTTTTCTCCAGTTCCTTTGCTGCTCTGCTGGATTACCCTTTCCTGTTAGTTGGACATCCCTCTCCCCGCTCAAGTTCTGCATCCTTTTCTATTTAAACTTTGGGATTGCCTTTCATTCAACTTATTCATCTTGTATTTTTTTTCCCTCTGCTGAACATGTGTTGGGATTAGGTTTTTTAGCACAAGGAAATGGGGATGATCTTTAGATTAAAAACATCTCACTGTTACAGTGTAGCCTTAAAGTAAGAGCATTTCATTCAACCTTCTGGTCAACAAATGAGTTTTCCCTAAGCCAGCCCACCAGGTGGTGATCATCTAGACTCTGCTTGATTACCTTTAATGTTAGGAAGCTCACCACCTCTTAAGGCTGCCTCTTCTTTTCCCGGAAAGCTCTGAACATTAGAAAATTCTTCCATCTGAATCCGAGTAGCTTCCGCTCACTGTCCCTAAGCCTCCCTCCTGGGGATATCCAGAGTAATTGTTATTACTTTTACTTGTGATAGCTCTTCAGATATTCGAAAACAGTTAACATATACCCTTTGTTCTCTTTCGTGGTTTGTCCATGTCTGATCCTTTCAACTTTCTCCCATAAATGAACAGTTTTTCCTTTTCTCTTCTGAGTCATGCTTGTTTTTTAGTCCTTTGAAACAATGTCACCTAGAACTAAATATCATATTCCAGGTGTAGGCTCCATAACCAGTCGGTTTATTACCTCTCTTGTTGGACATATGGTTCTAGTTACCTGTTACTGCTTCATCAACCACCCCAAAACTTAATAATGTAAAAAAAAAAAAAGCTCATAGATTCTTTGGGTCAGGAATATAAATGGGGCCCAACAGAAAGGCTTGTTTCTGCTTCAGGGTGTCTGGGGCCTCCGCTGGGAGAACTCCCGCAGCTGGGGGTAACTCTTGTGTTTGGGTAGAATCTGGAGGTGTCTTAGTGTTTTTGAAGAATTGGCTTGAAGTCTGGCTGCATCTGGGGGTGCCCCCTGGAGTACCCCTATACATAGCCTTTCCAGCTTGGTGGTCTCAGGGTGGATAGCCTTCTAACATGCACTCAGGGCTCCCAGAGAAAGTGTTCTGGCAAATGAGGAGAAAGCTGCAAGCAAGGCCATTTTTGACTTAGTCTCAGAGGTCAGAGGTGCTGCTTCCGTTGCACCCTAGTGAGCGCTCTGCTGACTAAGTTGGCACTGGCATACATCTCAAGTATACGTCTGCCATCTTCTAAGCAAAAGAACTTTGAAAGGACATCTTATCACACTGAACTCATCAGTAAGAAAACCTAAATAAACTTTCTTATAGGCAGCATAGTAAGAAACAGATAAGTTCTTTGAAGTCATGAGACTAATGTTGCTAAAATGAAATGAAGTAAATTGTAAGTAAATACAACGAAAGTTAACCAGCATGACAGCTTCCACCAAGTGTGGCTTTCCCATCCTCCCCGGCCCCCGGCTTTATTGAGATATAATTGACATATAACATTGTGTAAGTTTAAGGAATACAGTGTGTTGATCTGATACTTATCTACTGCAAAATGATTTCCACAGGAGCATTAGTTAACACCTCTATTATCTCACATAATTACCATTTCCTTTTTTGTGGTAAGAACATCTAAGATACACTCTTTTAGCAACTTTCAAGTATGTAATACAGTATTGTTAACTCTAATCACCATGCTAGATCCCCAGAACTTATTACTGGAAGGTTGCACCCTTTGACCAACATTTTCTCATTTCCCCCACCCGCCTACCCCTTGAGCCCCTGGCAACCACCGTCTATGTCTGTTTCTGTAAGTTTAGCATTTTTAGATTCCACATCTAAGTGGTATCATGACAGTATTTGTCTTTCTCTGTCTGACTTATTTCATTTAGCATAATACCCTCAAAGTCCAGCCATGCAGATGGCAGGACTTTTTCCTTCCCCCGGCAGAGTACTATTCCTTTGTCTATGTGGACCACATCTCCTTTATGCACTCTGAAGTTCCAGATCTTGCCAGTTAACTGGTCTTCCCACCTTTCACCTTTTCTGCCCTTGGCTGTTCTATCCTGTTTGCAAGTTAAACCGTAGGGTATAGTCACATCAGTGCTCTTCTTAGCAACTCCCTTTAGTCCCACAGCCGGCTGCTGAATTGGTTACACCCTTTCCTAGCTCTTGGAGGTCCCCACAGTTTGCACCCACTGCTCTTTATGTCTTTATTTCCCACCACTCATCCTCACATGGCTGATGTTTCAGCCCAGCTGGAATAAAATATGTAATAATTAAAGGATCTCTCTCTATATTTTTTCTCAATGGATCCTTTTTTCTCAATGGATCTGGATTCCAGGCATCTGATATTCATGCTGGATGAGAAGCCTGAGTGAGGCACCCACCACACAAACCCTTGCCTTTCTGGGAATAACTGGGCCATCCTCATTGACCCTTGTGGTTTTTAATTTTTACTGGCTGTGAGAATGGAAAATATTGTGTAGTGAATTGTTACAAGACCCCGATTTGTTCCCCAAAGAAGAGTTGTTCTACTTAGGAAAGGAAATAAAAGGAAATTGTGTATTTTTTTTCTAGACAGCGTGTTTCCTCTCCGCTTGTGTATATACTGTTGGGTAGAGGGTGCAGCCAGTCCCAGCAAGGCATTCAGTTCAATGGCATTCTTTACTGGAAAGCTTGTACTAAAGAAATAAATTATTGCATTTTCCATAGGAAATGAGCCTTGTACTTTATAGTGAGTTCAGTTCTTTCCAACAATGTCACTCACTGATTTCCTTGTATTAGAGATGTATTTTTGAACTGACAGGATTTACTAGGTACAGGGCCTAAAAGCCAGACTGCTCCCCTTTTATTCTTCTGGGTTGTTTTGTTTTAAAGTTCTTTGGCTTTTAAAAAGAAGTCTTGTACATTTTATGTTGTCATATAAGAGGCCTGAAAGAAGATACCTACAGTATAACCCTCGCATCTTCTGTAACTGGAATTGGTGGTTGGTAGGTTACTCCAAAGCTGATTAAGCAAAAGTACGTAGATGTGGGAGAGAAGTTTGTGCCAGTCTTGCTTCTGCAGGGGACGGAGTGCTGACTAATGCAGTGAGGACATTAACTAGATTTTGGTTAAGAGCACTTCTACTGTTTACTTTATTCCCCGTTGTCTTTGCACCCTACACCCCTACCAAGTCTGAACTAGACTTCAGATGTATTATTTTGATGAGCCACTTTGGACTTTCACATCTTTTGTTGTGGAGGAGGTGAGAGGTAAAGAAGGAGGGAGAAGTGGGACCTGAGTTTTCTGCTGGTCTTGGAGTTGGGGGCCCAGGATCTGGATTTGCAGGGGCTTGGGTTCAAATTCTGGTCTATCCCTTTATTAACTGGACTCTTGAGCAAGTTATATGACCTTTTTAAAATGTTTTATTTTTTAAATTCTTTTTGTTGAGGTACAGTTGATGTACAATATTATATAACTTACAGGTGTATGACATAGTGATTCAGAGTTTTTAAAGGTTATATATATTCTGTTTATGGTTATTGTAAAATATTGACTGTATTCCCTATGCTATACAATACATCCTTGTAGTTTATTTATTTTATATGTAGTAGTTAGTACCTCTTAGTCCCCTACCCCTCTCATTCCCCTCCCCCCTTCCCTCTCCCCACTGGTAACCACTATCTTCTCTCTGTCTGTGAGTCTGCTTCTTTTTTGTTATATTCACTTGTTTTATTTTTTAGATTCTACATGTAAGTGATATAGCACAATATCTGTCTTTCTGTATTTCACTTAGCATAATATCCTCCAAAATTTCGTTCTTTTTATGGCTGAGTAATATTCCATTGTGTATATGTAAACCGCATCTTCTTTTTCTGTTTTTCTGTTGAGTACACTTAGAGATATGCTTCCATATCTTGGCTATTGTAAAAAAAAAATGCTGCTATGAGCATTGGGTGTGTGTATCTTTCTAAATTAGTGTTTTTGTGTTTTTTTGAATAAATACTCAGGAGTGGAATTGCTGGGTCATGTGATAGCTCTGTTTTCAGTTTTAAAGGTCCAGTTTCCTCATCTTTAAAAAGGTGGGCAGACTGGTACATTTCTCATAGGGTTATATGAGTCGTAAATAAGGTAATGATGCACAGGGCTTAATAAAAGG